AGTGCCCACTGGAAAAGCCTTTTCACATACGCATATTAAAATAATAATCTTAAGACAAAAGAAGGTGAAATTACATTACAAATGTCTTAAACGCTAACTAAATTCTCTCGAATCTTTCGGAATTGTGTTTGTTTGTCAAAACCAATATGCAATATTTTGATTTTAAATGTGACTCAAATAGAAATGTTCGTGCACAATATAAATATAATATAAATTTGCCTTGTATAAAGAATATGATTTATTATAAAAGTACATATGTTACTGCTATTCGTGTATACAACCAACTGCCAACAGCAATTAAGGGGCCATCCATAAAGTACGTCACACTAATTTCATGAGTTTTTGAGCCCTCCCCCGTCTTTGTCACAGGTGGTCACATTTCTGAGACCCCCCCTCCCTAGTGTGACGTCACATGTTTTGCAATTTAACATCGAAAAATTATTAAATTAAAACAGCAGTTCCGAAATTAGTTTTATTTCCATTTAAATTAAGTACTTTTTTATGAAATCAACATAGTATCAAATATTTGAAACAATAACAAAAAAAAATAAACTAATGAATATAAAGAAAAAGAAGAAAAAGAAACTCAATCATCTTCAGTCCATGGACTTTGAACACAGTCTTTAAATTATTTATAACTGGCATGGCAGTCACTTCACAGTTCACTTCGTTTTTCACGTCAGGAACATTTGTGGTGTCAACATCTTTTTCATCCAACCATAAGGCATCATCATTAATATCCAAGCAAAGAATTTCTCTGGCACGTCTAGCTGCTATTCTTTGAGGGCGTATCTTTGCAATGGGAACTTCATCTTGCTTAATCTTATGAAGTTGTTTGTGTTGGTTAGTGTCTTTATATGATGCAAAATATAGACCACAGAAGCCGCATGATCGCTTACACAAGTATCCCTCAATACTAGGGCAGTAACTATCATACGGTACTTGCTTTAAATGTGATGACGCGCTCAGTTTTAAAGATAATTGAAATAATAGTGGAGCGAATTTACCTTCGATATCATCCTTTTCTGTTGTTATATACCCGCTTGACGTCTGTTTAATTAAAACAGGTGGTGGCAAAAAACCCTTTCGTAGTAGTCGCCGAAGACTAGATCTTTGCCCACCACAGCACGAAAAGATAGAGTTGGACATATTTTTTAGTTTAATTAATATTTCAAATTACGCGATTAGTACCTCTAGATTTTGAAATGTGATGTCACGAAACTTAGGACCCCTCCCACCCCTTGTCACACCATGTCACACTTTGTCGACCCCCTCCCCCCCCTTTATGTGTGACGTACTTTATGGATGGCCCCTAAGCAATTAAGTGGAAATATGTTTAAAAGAAATTTAAAGAAATTTATGATTGAAAATGTTTTTTATAACTTGAATGAGTATTTTGTTAAAAAGTAGAATGCAGAAATGTCATGTATTTTTTTTTATTCCAATATAATATTGCATGTCCGACTTGGATAGACTGTTGAGTCAAAACATTGTATTTTAATATCATTATGTCATTATGTACACAGTTATGCAATAAATTAATCTTATCTTATCTTATCTTATAATTGCCGCATATTATTTAAAATATTAATACTTAAGACAAATTTGGTTGACCACAGACAAAGCCGCGAGCAGAAATCTCGTTGCAAAAAATCAGACAGATTTAACATTAGGAAGCTTAACTAACAGTTAACGAACTCTCTACACGTTTAGGTCTAGACAGGATGCCTAGATTTTTTGCCTAGATCTTTAATCACAGTCTACATACATTGGCTACTACACTGAACTTTGTATTTTTGAGTTAGCCATAAAAAAGAAACAAATGAATAAAGCTAAGCTTGCACTTTCTAAATTTTGAGTTCTTTATATTAAGTACATACTAGCTTTTGCCCGCGGCTTCGCTCGCGTTAAGAAATAATATTATTAATTAGTTATAATTAGTTTTTGCGGCTTTACTTTTGTAAAAATTAAGGCCTCATCTTAATCAATCTTTAATTTCAGCCTAATCAGTCGATAATCTAAGAAGATTTATACAAATTTTCATCCCCTATTTTATCCCCTTAGAGGTGGAATTTATCAAAATCCTTTGTATAACTATGTGTATATCCTTGTATAATTTAGGTACGCACATCGTAGGCGTTATAGTAGCTTTATGCATGCAAGGTCTCAGTCCGATCGGTTTAAAACGGACAAAGTTTCATACAAACTTTCATCCCCTTTTTTATCCCCTCAGGGGTAAAATTAATCAAAATCCTTTCTTAGCGGATGGCTACGTCATAACATCTACCTGCATGCCAAATTTCAGTCCGATCCGTCCAGCTGTTTGGTCTGTGCGTTGTTAGATCACTTTAGCAGTCACCTTTGAGTTTTATATATTTAGAAAATAGATAGAAGTACTGTGTATTTTAATATCATAATTATCATTTGTATAGATGATTATCAATCGATTTCGTGAAAGAAATTTGATTGGCAATCAATCATAGTTTAACATCCGTTTTTTATCAAGGGAAATCGTCAAATGACTTCTTTCGCCCAGGGTCAGGCGAGAGGGTGTTTTTTTATGTTATAGTTCGGCAAACTGGCAGACGGATTACCTGATGGTAAGCAATTAGCGACGCCCATGGAAGCTCGTAGTACCAGAGGAGGTACTACAAGTGCGTTGCCGGTCTCTTGTGGGTTGATGAGTATTAGGGATTTAAGGATTGAGGAGGCCCAATTCTTTCCTCCTCCCCCTGGAGTGAGGAATAATTGGGCCTCCGGTAACCTCACTCACGGTGGAGTTACGAGTGCGTTGTCGACCTTTTGGTAATTAGTGTTTTGAAGATTTAGCGATTGGGGGAGGGGAAGGATTGGGCTTTTGGTAACCTCACTCACACAGCAAAACGATGTCGGAAGAAGCTACAGCAGTTTTTTCTTACTTCTTGAAAATTTATTAAAAACAATCGTATATTTTTTAACTTATTTTCAAGCTACTAAATTATAATGTAGTTTCTGGCGTATAATTATTCCACGGTCATCATATTTATAGCTTGTTAATGTGCTTTTTGTAAATTTAATAAATGAAAGTGTGATTAGATTTTACGTTTAATTTTAATTTTAATTAGGTACATTGAAAAAATTAAAGTTGCAAGTAATTTAATTTTTACTTAGTACTTTTTACTTGTAAAATTTAACAATTTGCACAAATACATTAATTAATTAATCATACTTGGAAGCAGTGCATAGACAGTGAACTCGGTGCTCAGACGTGTCAAAATTGTCGGTTCAAAAAATTGCAGTTAGCAAAAAATCTTAGTAAAAAAGTGAATGGTATAAAATAGACATACTTATCTACACGTTACTTGGTGTTAAACTTTTGAGTGAGACCAGGTGTCACGGTAAGTTAAGCGATTAAAAAAAACAACTTTTAAGTGTGGAAGAGGCATGCTTCGGCAGGAACGGGTCGGCTCAACCGGAGTGATACCACAGCCTCACAGAAAAACAGAAAAACTGGTGTGGAACAACCAGCGTTGTGTTTCGGCGTGTGAGTGAGGTTACCAGTGGCCCAATTCCACCCCTCCCCTAATCCCTAAATCTTCAAATCCCCAAAAGGTCGTTAACGCCCTCGTAACTCCTCTGTTGTTGCGGGTTTCCACGGGCGCTGATCCTTACCATCAGGTAATAGGTTTGCCGACCTATTACATAAAAAAAACTGAACATTTAACTGGTTAAAAATCATCCAAAAATGGAAAATCATTCAAAAAAATTCTTTGCAAATTACAAAAGAACTTTGGCAATCCGACCAGCGGTTCCAAAGATTACCCTCTACATACAAACTTACAAATTTTACCTCTTTATAATATTAGTATTATATCCTATTTAGGTGGGCCCTACAGGACCGATGTTTATCCGGGGTTACGGGGCTAGCGGCATAAGGCACTGGCCTAGAGCAGGAGAAGGAACGGGGAGGTTTTTAGTCAGTAAGAGTTTAACACTCCCAGCAGTGCCGGCGTTAGGGTGGGTCGTAATGGGGCGATGTCCCAGGGCGACAAATTTCGGGGGGTGCCAAGGTCTGAAGTTGGAGTCTCTTGCCTCTCCCGGTGCAAACCCTCAGAACTGTGCTCTACGCTCTGTGCATATGTGTTATAGTCAAAGTCCGATACACAGTCTCTTCGCGGGAGGACTGGTTTATCCTAGGTTTGGCCAAAGCCATCAGGCAATCCCCGAAATACATTTCAATGCGCCCTTTGCCTGAAGTATTTTTAGTCAAACCCAGGAGCTCCTGACTTTTCAGTCAAGCGTCGAAAGTAAATTATCTGTTTCGATTTTGGCCTAGTCAATCCTAGAAGCGACTGCAAAACTCGGTCAAACGTTGATCGATGAACATGTTTCAACAGGTTCATAATGTCTCTCGCGCTTTTCCGACCGATTGTTTTGTCATTTCATGTTCGTTCATTGAATTGTTCGTGTAATTGTTGCCTCTCAATAAGTAAACATTATAAAATGCCTCACCATGTCAGAAAAAATATTAATTTTCCATTTTAATTACTTAAGAAATTATTAAAACAATAAACATCAAAATTTTAAGAATGTTATTAGTGATACCTAATCTTACAAACTTACAAACTAACCTCCGTATATTCCAAAGCATTTATTTATTTATTTTATACTTTATTGCACATCGTACAAAAGGCGGGCCTAATGCCACACGGCATTCTCTCAAAGCATCTCAAATATAAAAGTGAAAATCACGTAAGCTGACCAATCAGGTGTCAGAACTGGCAGAGTTAAGCGGTTCTTAAGACTTGAAAGCTGCTTAAATGATAAAATGCTTCCAAATATACAAAGATAAGACACTTTATACCTATATCGGAGTTTGACTCGTCAAACCCCGATTTAATAAAATTGTGTTTTGACGTTTGCCTGACCAAATTAGTCTCTCCCAGGTTTGACGAAAATTGTTTAGTCAAAGGCCGAAAATTTACATTTGTTTGGGCTTTGACTAAGTCATTCAGTCTGACCTGAGGATTGACCAGTCCAACCTCGGAGCGCCGGAGCTTCGGAGTTTGCCTATAACATATGCATATTTTTATTGAGATTATTTTTCGATAGATTTTCTGAGGGTTTGTGGTCAAAGAGTAACGATACGACCAGCAAAAAACTAATACGTTACTAATAAGTACTAATATTGCTTCCCTCAAGTGGGCGCCATAATATTTTCGCCCGGGGTGTCAGTGGCCCGTACGCCGGCACTGATCCTGAATCCTTCCCATCTTCCCATCCCGCTCGAATCCCCTCGGATATCCATGGGCGGCCCCAAAGATCGTCATTGGGCGGCGCCGATTGCTTACCATCAAGCAATCCGTCTGCTCGTTTACCTACTTAAATCATAAAAAGCGATATCAGAGATTGAATTATATTTCTATTTTTTTCTAGCTCAAAAAATCGCTCATCTGACTTCATGACCTGAATGTCTGTAGGTAATACTATACCGTTCTTTGCAATCATAGTTGGTACCTACTTTCACTCGTTTCAAAAAGGAAATTTGGTGTGACAGCTCATTTTTGTAGTTTTATATATCTATGGTTTTATTTCCTTACATGTGAAAAAATGTATATACTGCAATAATCCGATCGCATATATTATATTTCTATTATTATTAATTATTTATTTATTATTTCTTTTATACCGGAGTTATACCACGGCCTCACAGAAAACCGGCGTGAAACAACCACAGCGTTGTGTTTCTTTGTGTGAGTGAGGTTACCGGAGGCCCAATCCTTCCCCTCCCCCAATCCCTCCTCAATCCCTGAGTCTCCAACTCCTCCGTTACGGGTGTCAATGGGCGGCGCTGATTACTTACCATCAGGTAATCCGTCTGCTCGTTTGCCGAACTATTACATAAAAAAAAATGTTAAAAAAAACACGTTGCCCCACACTAGTAATTTTCTCCTGTGTTGTGGCTAGGTTTACAAACATACAATTTCATATACACATCACACCCAGACCCGGAACAACAATTTGTGGATCACACAAAGAGTTGTTCCGTGCGGGAATCGAGACTGGGACACGTTTTGCGGCAGCCAGTTGCCTAATCACCGCGCCAATTTATTGTAGAAATACTAAACATTGTAGAAATACTAGTATATTATTTATTTGAATGTAACTATTAAGTCAGTACCCTGCTCATCAATAAGAGTCCCGTTGTGGCTTGAACCTAGTAGAGCTTTTCTCAGTTAATTCAAGTGAGTCAGTCGTTATCTTATATATAAAAATGGATCGCAAAATGTGTTGTAAGCGCATAACTCAATAACGACTGGACCGATTTGGCCAATTCTTTTTTTAAGATGTTCGTTGAAGTCCAAGGATGGTTCTTACGGCGAGAAAAAATCGAATAATTGGCGGGAAAACCCTAAAAACAGTCCTTTTCTTTTTCACATACAAACGTTTTCTAACTAAAACGTCGAATCAATTTGAGCTTTATTGCTGTTATACATAAGGTTCATATTAAATAACAAGCACTCACTGGTATCTAAGAAATAAGTGAAAGAAGAAAAGGTGTGTTCCTAACGTCAAAAAGTAAATTTGCACTTTCTTACCGCTAAACAAAGTTCAAATTCAATCATATCTATCAAAACAGTGTGCGCGTGTGCTTTGGAGCTGGAGCACAGAATTCGTCGTTTGAGGATTAATAAGCCGGGTTCCGAAAACAAAAAAAAATACGATTTGAATGATTCTTTTAGTGTTATGTAGTCCATTTATCGACATATTTTTGCGTGCGCTGCAATAACTATTGACCATAAAACAAAATGATGTACTACGGGTTTGTAGATTCTATTAAAACCTACAAAAAGTCCGCGAGAGCATATATCTTGCTATCATGGTTTAATCACAATACCCGATTTTGTGTTCAAAATAATTATTAAATCGTCTGAAGGAAAAAAAGCGTTAAATATGTATCGTAATATTATTCTTTATCGGAATTAAGCATTATGTTATCAAGAGTATTTATTTATAAGTATTTTAAAATACTTTTTTATTTCCTCTCAATCTCTCAATCGTTTAAAAGTTATCATGTGTGTAAGATGTTAAGAGTTGGTACCTTATTAATGAGTTATGGGCCATAGAGTTTTTCATCAACATAAAATCATGTAAATAATATTTTTCGTAATATATTTGTTGATGATTGTAAGTATAAGATCTTTGAAGAGTATAAGAAATACATTTCTAAACTAACTCTGCTAAGGAAAGGGAAATCCAAGGAAAAACACACATCTTAATTTGGAAATGTCGTTGCGGAAGCCATACGATGTAAATGAATTAAATGAGTTTATTACTGTAAATGCACCCAAGTTCTTTAATGACCAGGTAAGTTTCAATGAGGGAAAAATATTTTTTTAGATGCTCCAGGGGAACCGGCAAACCTTTCATTAGCTACTAATATGATATTAGCAAAAGTAAGGTCTCAGGGAAAACTAGCTTTGGCAGTAGCGTCATCTCGCTGCTACTATATTAGCTGGCGGACGAACAGGTCATTACACTTTTAAACTTACCTAACCTTTAAACTTAACTAACCTAACCGTTCCGTTACAGAAAGAGCGTGTGCTCTATTCGTAAAAATGGCCTTTTAGGCAAAGTTTTGTAAGATGTCACTTTAGTCACTTTAATCTGGGATGAATGTACCATGATTCATAGAGCTCATTTCAGGGATTTTCGGCCAACTTTACCAGTAGTAGTAAGAGGAACTAAATTAGACATAGTAAAAAAATGCCTTAAAAGTTCTCTATTATGGAAATTTGTTCATACCTTAAAACTATCTACGGACATGAGAGCATATTACTTCAAAGGAAAATTTGTACTACCTCCTCCCAGGAGGTAGTACAAATTTTCCTTTGAAGTTACTTTTAGTTGGAGACGGAAAAGTACCTTATTTTGAAAATAAAATACCTATTGTGATCAAGATTTAGGAGAAAAAAAGACTAGCATTGAGAGTTTAATATCAAAAGATATCGTCGAAATAGAAAATAAAGATTATCAATGGAAGTGTGCACAGTCGGTGCGGTGGCTGGGCAACTGGCTGCCGTGTAACGTGTCGCGGGTTCGATTCCCGCACGGAACAACACTTTGTGTGATCCACAAATTGATGTTTCGGGTCTGGGTGTCATGTGTATGTGACATTGTATGTTTGTAAACGCACCCACAACACAGGAGAAAATCCTAAAGTGTGCACAGTAGAGTAAAGTCTAAACAGTAGTGTTGACAAAATTAACGATTTAATTTTAACTAAACTTCCAATGGATCAAGAATATGCAGTCCATTATCTACAGGGATTTTTCATTCTTTAAACCCGAGGGGCATCCCATCACATTCTCTCAAGTTAAAAATTGGTGCCCCAATTATTTTATTTTACTTAGAAATTTATGTAACGGGAGACTTTAGGTTAAATTTGTTCGCAATAACGTGATCGTTGCAATAATAGTTCTGACTGGTCCAGTGATTGGTCAAACAGTTCAGAAAATAAAACGAAAAATATAATTTACTCAGAAGTACTTTAAATTGATATTTTAACCCGGTTTAAAGTCTGTGTGGAAGCAGCGACTGTCGCAACCGAGGGCCGGGCACGCTACTATAGCAGCGGTAAGACCCCTCTTTGAGGAGTGGCTTGAGAGACGCCACGGCGTCCTCACCTTCCGCCTGACGCAGGTGCTTACCGGGCACGGCAGCTTTGGTAGGTTCCTGTTTCGGATACAGCGAGAGGAAACGCCCGAGTGTCGTCATTGTGAGGATCACCTGGAGGACACGGTGGAGCATACGGTGGGGGAGTGCCCTGCTTGGGCTGAGCACCGCCGTGTTCTCAGGGAAGTGATCGGCGGCGGCAACCTCTCGCGCCCGGCCTGAATCGAGCCCATGGTGCAGCGTGAGAGGAACTGGGAAGCTATCTCCTCCTTCTGCGAAGCAGTTATGCTCGCAAAGGAGGAGGCGGAGCGCGTGAGGGAACTATCCTCCTCGCGCCCCAGCCGCCGCAGAAGGCGACATTCCGGACGTCGGGGATCGAGAGATCAGGTATCTCAGGTATCAGGATCTCCGGCCACCGTAAGCGCGGGTCTGCGGACGGCGAGTAAGGGTAGCTCGCCGCCCGACCAGAACCAGACCCACGCGTACGGCGCGTAAAGACCCAATAGACCACCACAGTCGGGGCCCTAAAGGTCTGATGTTTACCCGGGGCTGCGGGGTTAGCGCAATGAGGCACCGTGACCTTGGCCCAGAGCAGAAGAAGGAACGGGGGGTTTTTAGTCAGTAAGAGTCTGACACTCTCTCTCGCCTTACCCTGGGCGGGAGAAGTCATTGGATGATTTCCCCCTACCAAAAAAAAAACCGGTTTAAAGTGGACGGACACTCCCGCCTGTAGTCGTAATTCTTACTCTGGCTGAATTTCGAACAGATAAACAGCTATTGCTTACTTGACTTTTACAATTTAACTTAATCTATATTTTTCTTAATATTATACCTAAACCTGAAAAGTTTGGTTGTTTGTTATGAAGGCGGTAATCTCGGAAAATGCTGATCTGATAATTATGAAAACCGTTTGAATATTAAATAGTCCATTTGAGGGAGGCTATAATAAAGGCAATATTTTATCTCGGTATTTCCACGGAAACGACAAAAACGCGGGTGAAACCGCGGGGCACAGCTAGTTTTCAATAGATATACAACATATATAATTTGATATTTATTTTCTAATTATAAAGAGACTGGCTATTGACCTTTACGCGTCATGGTCCATATAGGCTTCTTCGGTAAATGAACTATTCGTCAAAAATATTTGTTCAATTCGAACCAGTAGTTTCGGAGAAAAGCACGTTCAATCCGACAAACAAACTCTTCAGCTTTATAATTTTAGAAAGTATACCTAATGTACTTAGCTGTTGGACTCTTTTTCACACATTTTCGCGTAAGTACTTTTTGGCATAGCATCCTGAATTCTTAGTTTGTTTTTACACCTAATATTTAGTACTTAATGATTTTATGTGAAATCGAATTATGCCAAAACCAATAATGTATGCCTATATTACAGAGGCCCTACCATGACTTGTTAAAGCGGGAATCTTTCGGGCGAGAAAGAGGGATGGAGCTATACACCTTTTATAGCGCCATCCCTCTTTCTCGCCCGGAAGATCCAGGAAATTCGAAAGAGAGATGGAGCTATACTATGTACCTTTTATAGCGCCATCCCTCTTTCTCGCACGGAAGATTCACGCTTTCACACTTCATGGAGCCTACAGGTCGTTTATCAGCGTAAAAAATAACTCAGGGCGAAAAGTTAGGAAGAAATAAAAGAACAATATTTTATTTTAATCTTTATTTTTAGCGCAAAACACCAACAAATCAAATTGTCTTTTAGAAATCTAAATATTCTTTCAATGAACTGTTAGAACAGTTCAGCGCTATATACGAATCGATACAGTGAATTTACTAGCTTATAAAACTCTTACAGAATCTCCAAAAAGGCAGGCAGCGCACTCGTAACTGCTCTGGTTTTACGGGTGTCCAAGGGCGACGCTGATTGCTTACCATCAGGTAAATGCGTAAAGTACCTAAATGCTTTTAAAATCATTCGATTTGTTGGTATTGAGTACAAAAAAAACACTTTATTCTTACAATAAATTACAAAAGTGCCGGTATTAGGATCAATAGGGGCATAAAATAGGAAGTTTTTAAAGACGATGCTTTACCCCGTTGGGGAGCAAATAGCGCTACGTCATGGTAATTGGAACTCCAGCCGATGAGTGGCTCGTCCCTATTCTGGACTCGAAGCCATAATTCTAGTGGACGGAAGTACCTGAAAAAAATGTAGGTAAGAGAGCCATGATATATAATAGAAATAAGGACGCCTAATCTCTCCCCTCCCCCAATCCCCAAAAGGTCAGCAATGCACTCGTAACTGCTCTGTTGTTGCGGGTGTCCATGGGCGGCACTGATTGCTTACTATCAGGTAATCTATCACATAAATAAACATAAAAACACACATATATATAACCAGGTTAAATTTAAAATCATCCAATGACTTCTACCACCCAGGGTTGGGCAGGGTTGAGTGTCAGACTTAAACTGACTAACCCCCCCCCCTGTTCCTTTTAAGCAGAAGCCACGGTGCCTCATTGCGCTTGCCCAATTCGAATGCTGGAATTAGGACTGCTCCTAATATAACGACGCGACGACGACGCCCGCCACTGCTGTCAGTGCCAACCGCCAGGACCAACCTCCTGGCCAAAACGCCTCTCACGCGAGCAATTCGTATTATAAATGAAATCCACAACAATATAGATATTTTTTCGTGTCAGTTCAGTGAACTCGCAAGGATGACTTTATTTATATTATGTTATAAGATAGATTAGGCCGTAGTCATTAATGTGTTTTATTTTATTGTTTTTGTATTGTTTGTTTTTGTATGTTTTTTTTTTATTAACCAAGAAGGGTGTGTGTCTGTTTATGTTTTTATGTTTTTAATTGTATTTTTATAATGTTTTATTTAGTTAAATGCCTCACTAACGCATTGGATTAGTCTGTAATTTTAGTGTTAAGGATGATAAATAAATAAATAAATAAATAACGGTCGGTATTAGGGGCGATTCTAACTCCAGCAATAAGTGGCGTGCAAACTTACTTGACGAGAGCTTCGGGAGATATTTTATTAGTTTTTCCCCTGGTCATGGATTTGATGACTTCCGATGCCGGTTTTGAAGCACCAACTTGCATGATTTCGCTGAAAAAAACACACATATAAATGATAATTAATATTTTACTAGCTTTTGCCCGCGACTTAGTTCGCGTGGAATAGTGACTTCCTGCAGATTTTTGATTTAAAAACTATCGTATGTCCTTTCTCGAGATCCAAACTATGTCTGTATCAAATTTCACAGAAATAGTTTAGGCGTGAAGAAAAGACAGACAGAGCTACTTTCGCATTTATAATATTAGTTTTGATTTTTTCTCTAAAAACCTTTGCCCCACAGAAGGATTTTGTCCTGTGTCATGGGTGCAGTTACAAACATACAATTTCACATACACATCATACCCAGACCCGAAACAACAATTTGTGGATCATACAAAGAGTTGTGTCGTGCGGGAATCGAACCCGCTACACGTTGCACCGCACCAACCGTGCAGTCAAAGTCAGAGTATTCCAATAATATTAACGACAATTTATCTTCTAAATCATCATCATCATTATCATCAATATCAGTTACAACAAGTCCATTGCTGAATATTGGCTTCTCTTTGATTTTCAGATCGAATGGATTAGACCTTGGCGTCCACCTGAAGTTTTATATAATCGTGATATTTTCTCTTATATCTCGTGGATGCACAGATCGTGATCTTCTTGACAACGACCTGTGCAACCAGGTCGAAACGTCAGTTCTACCAAGGTATTTAGATAATTATTTTTCGCGTTAATACCCGCGTAATTATAATGTTGTAAATATGAAACGCGAAAGTGAAAATATGAAACTTCAAAGCTAGAGTGAATAGGCTCTTAATAAACTAGTGCGCCTTACCATCAATAATTGCATCACTGCTTACCATCAGGTGGGATCGCAGTCAAGCACTAGTTTATATCGAGAAAAAAAAAGAAGTTTAAAAGTAAGTTAAGTAAAGTCGTGATATTCTTCTCTTTAAAAGTTTTATTTGAATTAGTTTTCAAGTTTTTTTTTTTATAGATAGATACATTTTTAGAAGATAATTAATGAGTTCTAAGATTCCATTTTAGAAGTCAACCGTAATAGCGTAAATGATGCTTGGACTCTTCTGGACTATTCCCGTCTCTAGGGTGGGTTAGGGATTTGACGATTTGGGGATTTGGAATGAAAGTAGGGGATTGGGAGCAGTACAGGGGAGAAAGGGCGGAATTGATGCTTGAATAGCTTCTGGTATTAGGTGCCAGGGGATAAAGATTTGGAGATTTGGGTGTTTTTGGGTTTGGGTTATGGGGATTTGGGTTTCGATATGTGCGTTTTGGGGATTTGGGTTTCGGTGATTTGAGTTTTGGGGATTTGTGCTTGGGGATGGGGGAGAGAGAGCGGTACGGGTAGAGGATTATGCCTCCTGTAACCTCGCTGACACGTGCGTTGTTTTACATCGTAGTACCGCACTTCTACCAAGCCGACAATCAATGCAATTTTTTTAACAAATATATTTTTTTGGTTAAACTCCTTGTTAATGAGGATTTTCAGTTCGTTCTTTCGGATGTCCCGTTATATAATGAGATCCTGTCACCTGATGATGCTGATTATAATGATGATGATGGCGTTTAAAACCCTCTCACCTGAGCACTCTGCCAGCATCCCTGCTCCGGTAAATATCACACTCGTACAGATGTCCCGTGTGACCCGATACAGAGCACAGTTGCTCAAAAACTTGAAACTCCAATATTGTGGCTAGGAAGTATTTTATATATTCCTGAAAACATATCAATTATCTTGTATACATATAGGTCATGACTTTGGTATCCTTATATATAGCTGAGATAGGTATGTTTGTTCGAAACCATCCTCAAGTTTATCCCAAAGTTAGTGAAGACTGCAAATTTAAACAGAGGTATCCTACAAAATTAAGAATGGAAAGATGTAGAAGTACTTTACATAAGAAAAATTGTAGAATGATGGTAATCTATATATATAAAAGAAAGTCGTGTTAGTTACACCACTTATAACTCAAGAACGGCCGAACCGATTTAGCTGAAAATTGGCAGGGAGGTAGTTTAGAGCCAGGAGAAGGACATAGGATAGGATAGGATAGAGTAGGTAGTGTAGGTTAGGTAGAGTAGGGTGGGTAGAGTAGGGTAGGTAGAGTAGGGTAGTTAGAGTAGGGTAGGTAGAGTAGGGTAGGTAGAGTAGGGTAGGTAGAGTAGGGTAGGTAGAGTAGGGTAGTTAGAGTAGGGTAGGTAGAGTAGGGTAGGTAGAGTAGGGTAGGTAGAGTAGGGTAGGTAGAGTAGGGTAGGTAGAGTAGGGTAGTTAGAGTAGAGTAGGTAGAGTAGGGTAGGTAGAGTAGGGTAGGTAGAGTAGGGTAGGTAGAGTAGGGTAGTTAGAGTAGAGTAGGTAGAGTAGGGTAGGTAGAGTAGGGTAGTTAGATTAGGGTAGTTAGAGTAGGGTAGGTAGAGTAGGGTAGGTAGAGTAGGGTAGTTAGAGTAGGGTAGGTAGAGTAGGGTAGGTAGAGTAGGGTAGATAGAGTAGGGTAAGTACTAAAATGACGCGAGCGACGCCGCGGGTAAGAGCTAGTTAATATATGTAACAAAATTCCTAAAGAGATTAGAGAGCTACCTAAAGCAAGATTTAAAAAGAAGTTAAAAGCTTGGCTTATCGAAAAGTGCTTCTATACGATAGAGGAGTATATTAATTGTAGAAAACAGATCTATACCTACTTACTAAGTTTAAACATTTATTTATGTTATTAATTTTCGCATGCCTACTGAAGGCGAGATATGCTAAGTGACTTATTTTGTTGTACCACCTTCTGTATTTACCATGTCTCTGCGAATAAAGATATTCATTTTCATTTTCATTATATATAAAAATGAATTGCTGTTCGTTAGTCTCGCTAAAACTCGAGAACGGCTGATCTGTTTTTGGGTAATTATAGTCTGAAAATTTTCGTGGAAGTTCGGGGAAGGTTTGAAAGGTCAGAACATATTTGAGGCAGTACGGAGTTCGCTTTCTCTGTCCCTATATCCCTATGTATGCTTAAATCTTTAAAACTACGCAACGGATTTTGATGCGGGTTTTTTAATGGATAAAGTGATTGAAGGGGAAGGTTTATATGTATAATAACCTCCATTAAATAGTGGAGAAATTAAGTATCAGCGTTGCAAACGTGCGAAGTCGGGGCGGATTGTTAGTTTGCACGGATGACCAAATACGTCGCTAACGACAAGGGTCGATATTTACCAAATTCATCCTTCTGCTTTTCTAATAAATACTCTCATAAAAACCTTTTCCTTTCAATAACAAACACAATGACAAAGAATTGGTCCAGTCGTTGTTGAGTTACGTGCTTACCATGCCAACAATTGTCAATTTTCAATAATATATTAGCAAGAAAGAAGAAAACACGGAGAAACAGAAAGAAAAAGATACATAAGTATGTAAAGAAAGATTAACAGAAAGAAAAAGAGAAATAAGGAACGAAAGATTAATAGAAAGAAAACGAGAAATAAGGAAGGAAAGATAAACGAGGAAAGAAAGATAAACAGAAAGAAAGAGCGAGAATGAAATACATAAATCTAATCTAATATTTGTATTTTTTGGCTGAGAAAACTAGCCTATTTGAGTATGGACTTCTCAGATAAAAATATTACTTAATGAATAGGTAGTACCTAACTATTATGAGACATACTAAAAATATTGAAAAAAAAACGACTAACTCGCGTGAATTAACTGAGGAAAGCTCGACTAGTTTTAAGTCACAGCGGGACTCTTATTCATGAGCAGCGTGCGTGTCCCGTCGACGTCGTACAGCCAAAGTAAAGTCACGTGGTCACTCGCTATTTTTACAATAAATGATAACTTTACCTGATCAGAAATAACATGGTACTTGGAGCCAGGGTCGAAGTCACTCTCATGGCGTGGTATTGGGGGGATTACACCCTGAAACCATAAAACGAAAATATACACCATCAGCCTATAAGTGCTCACTGCTGAGCAAAGGCCTTCTCGCACACGGAGAAGGTTTGAGCATTAATCATCACGCTTTTTTATGGGATATGTCGGCAAACGAGCAGACGGATTACCTGGTGGTAAGCAAACGGCGCCGCCCATCATCATCATCATCATCATCAGCCTATAAGTGCCCACTGCTGATCAAAGGCCTCTTCTCATACGAAGAAGGTTTGAGCATTAATCACCACGCTTGCTCAATGCGGGTTGGCGATTTCAAACTTATAATTAGAAATTATAAGTCCAGGTTTTCTCACGATGTTTAACCTTCACCGTATGTCAGTGGTGTCTAAATATTTATAGAAAGTACATATAAGTCGGAAAATGTCACATTGGCAGCTTTCGAACCCTCATGCATGAGAAGCGGGCTCCTTAACCTCCGGGCCACTACGACATTTTATGGGCCGCCCATGGACAACCACAATACCAAAAGAGTTACGAGGGCGTTGCCGGCCTTTTAGGGATTAGGGTTTTGGAGATCTTTTCGAGGGACGGTGAGGGTTTTCTGATATCCTCACTCACACGGTGAGACACAACGCAAAGCATTAACATGGGGCGCGGTTAGTACTTGGATGGGTGACCGCCTAGGAATACTGCTTAGCGGTAGCTTTTCTGGTACAGAAGTCGGAGCAGGAGAAGGACCGGGGTAGTGTTTAGTCAGTAAGAGTCTGACATTCCCTGAAAGAAGTAGTGAACAAAGGTCGACTCGGGAGAGAGTGGATTATTAATACATTGTTTTACTTATGAAGCGCGTATAATTAAGTAATGAACAATGCTTGCTGCTCACCAAACCAATTAAATCAATCGACACCTATTCGCTATGTGCGAAGTGGGTGGTGGGGAACGGCAAATCGATCGTAGCGCACGACGTGGCAGAAATGTGAATTAATTCTGGACTGTCATGTGTCAAATTGCTTTATTTTCATAACTCTCTTTACAATTTTAAGTAAAATCGTAAAGATTTATCCCGTACGTATTATAATATCCATATTTTTCACGAGGAAGAAAATCGCTAGGTATAAATATACGCACTCACTTTTAACACTATTTTTTTTTAATTTCGTTTATTAACTAGTCGAAAATCAATATCTTATCATCTAGTTGACATGATTTGACAGATGACAAGTCCTGAAAAGTTGCGGCCACTAGGGTCGTAGTTATCGCGCACACAACCAATACTATCGCCGGTAACGAAACCATAGCGCGATCTATCTCGATCCCAACGCCATCTATCGAGCTAACGTACAACTTTATATTCCATATTAAATCGCACTATGATTCCGTTGACCTTTATTTACGTAAACAAGTAGAGAAGAGTATTTCTTACCTGATATCGAAGTTTCATTTGCCACCATCTTGAATTCATGTTCTGAACTCCATCTTCAAATATAGACCAGCGCCACTGACAAAAAGAAAAAGAAATTACTTACTTTTCTTCACTACTAGAGTCTAATATTATTAACTAGCTTTTGCCCGCGACTTTGTTCGCGTGGAACAGTGACTTTCTGCAGATTTTTGTTTTAAAAACTATCCTATATCCTTTCTCGAGTTTCAAACTATATCTGTACCAAATTTCACATAAATAGGTTCAGTAGTTTAGGCGTAAAGAAAAGACAGACAGACAGAGTTACTTTCGCATTTATTTATAATATTAGTTTGGATTTAGATAAAAACCGATAAATGAGATTAATTTATCACTTTGACATCGACTTTCGATTATTATTATTAATAATAGATTTTTATACATACAGGGTGTAAAAAGACACTTAACGAAGCCGAAAGCCACGTACTCTACCCATTATTTGGATCATTTTCGGATTCTCGAGATATTGAAGGTCAAAGATGCATTTTTATTTTTTATTTTTTTGCTCAATCGAATTCTAAGTATTATTACAAAACCTTTTTCCAAACAAACATTACCTGAATTTTCGATTTTTATAAATAAATTACGCATTTGAAGTTACGAACAGTAATGTACGTAATAAATAAATGCAGACCCGCACAAAAACATCGTGCATCTCAGTAGGATTTTTATTTTACAGAATTGTTTTGTTGTTGCGAAGTTAAACGTCGATATGTACGTACATATCACAGCGTTTTCATGCTAAGCTGTGAACCTACGCACACAATGACAAGAAGCCAGTTTGCTTTACATTGCGCGCAATAAAGTTATTATTTTTGTGATACCTAAAAATAAAAGTCGTTTCCCAGTGATGATTTTAGCGTAAAGCTACTTAGTTAAACCTGCAGTATGCGTAGTTAACGGCTTCGTTAAGTGTCTTTTTACACCCTGTATATCATTAAATAATAAAATTAAGTTAATAAAATATCCGTGTCGATAAAACTTGAAAAGGAGCCCCAGCACAACAAAGTGACTCATATAGTGTGATATAGCCCTTTATTCCCTATCGAACAAGAACGTTTCCGTTTTAACCTAAAGCGTGTGTTTTTAAAGATATAAGGGCTTTTCCAACCATTCGACTTGGAAAGTAAGTGTAGTGGCGCCATCTGTTGTCGAATAGTTGAAAACGGTAGTTTCCAACTAGTCAAATTCAATACTTTTATCCAAACATCAAAAACGATACTTTTATATGAAATTTGTATGAAAAACTGAGTTATGACGTCATAGCATTTTTGTGTCAAATAGCTTACTTATTTCTTAATAATCAGCTAAAAAAAAATAGAAAGCTTAGTGTATCGATCGATCGATGAATAAAAGTATAATTATTTTTCAATATTTTATCGTATTGAAACGTCGAAATTATTTATTTTTGACCTAGGAAACTACGAAATTTCATTAAAAGAAAGGTTATTTGGGGCGGTTTTTAAAAATCCCAGTTTGAATAAAGTCTTAAATAACGAGAAAATCTAAATACAGAAAATGTCATAGTATGTTTTTTGTCATCTACAACGTAATCTCATATCAACTTCCGTGCGAAGCCGGGAATCATAACTAGTATTATTAATAATCTTCAATGATTCATTTTTACCGTAACGTGTATATCATATCTAATTATCTACCTGGTCCACCATAAATGCGAAGGGTAAGTAAGCGACCTTCTCCAGCGCCATCGTCATGAGGAAGTTCATACCGACCTCATAGGAGTCGTGGCTCCTGGAACACAAAACAAAAATAGTCCGTAATCTATATATAAAAGAAAGTCGTGTTAGTTACACCACTTATAACTCAAGAACGGCTGAACCGATTTAGCTGATTGGCAGGGAGATAGTTTAGAGCCAGGAGAAGGACATAGGATAGGATAGAGTAGGGTAGGTAGAGTAGATAGAGTAGGGTAGGTAGAGTAGGGTAGGTAGAGTAGGGTAGGTAGAGTAGGGTAGGTAGAGTAGGGTAGGTAGAGTAGGGTAGGTAGAGTAGTGTAGGTAGAGTAGGGTATGTAGAGTAGGGTATGTAGAGTAGGGTATGTAGAGTAGGGTATGTAGAGTAGGGTAAGAAGAGTAGGGTAGGAAGAGTAGGGTAGGTAGAGTAGGGTAGGTAGAGTAGGGTAGGTAGAGTAGGGTAGGTAGAGTAGTGTAGGTAGAGTAGGGTATGTAGAGTAGGGTATGTAGAGTAGGGTATGTAGAGTAGGGTAAGAAGAGTAGGGTAGGAAGAGTAGGGTAGGTAGTTTGGGTAGGTAAAGAAGGGTAGGTAAAGTAGGGTAGGTAGGGTAATTAGAGTAGGCTAGGTAGGGTAGGTAGTCAAATTACGGGAGCGACGCCGCGGGTAAGAGCTAGTTGAAAATAAATTAAAGTCATCGATCATTAATAAAGAACTATTAGTGATCGATGATTAAAATCAATGTTTTTTTCTTTAAAAACTGTTGCCTTACACTAGGATTTTCTCCTGTGTCGTAGGTGCGTTTACAAACATACAATTTCACATACACATCACACCCAGACCCGAAACAACAATTTGTGGATGACACAAGGAGTTGTTCCGTGCAGTCTAGAAGATATATTTTTTTTGTACATATGTATAGTATATTTTGCAAGATTTTGTAATCAGGGGACAGGAAAATTTTAAAACTAGGCGAAAGAAATAGTTTAGGGAAGAGTAAATTGCATTTCTTATGTTTTCTTTTTTAAGATAATAAAGAATTAAAAGCAGAATATCATTTATTAAATTGCAATGCTGATACTAAATGTCTCCACATATTAAATTGACATTATTATACCTACATATAAACATTCCTCTTCAATCACTATATCTATTAAAAAACTGCACAAAATCCGTTGCGTAGTTTCAAAGATTTAAGCATACATAGGGATATAGGGACAGAGAAAGCGACTTTGTTATATACTATGTGTAGTGATTAAGTATAAAAAATATCTTACTTATTCTGGTAAAGCCCCACTCGCTGCAGATGAGGTAGGTTGTACACAGACAGAGTCGCGGCATTAGCTACAGCTTCGTGGAACGCTGAAATGAGATAATACACTAATTAAGTTTGGGAAGAGAGTAGTTTAGGTTTAGGACCCTTCTGAGATTAAAAGTCGTGATTTTTATATCTTATATATAAAAATCGATCGCAAAATGTGTTGGTAAGCGCATAATTCAACAACGCCTGGACCAATTTTGATCATTCTTCTTTTGTTGTCTATGTTATTGTCAGGAGAAGGTTCTTATCACACAGAAAATATTAGAAAAGTAGGAGAGGAGGGAGGGAAGATTAGGAAAAGTAACTCTTTGATAGCGAGATAGTTGGACGCGTGCGAAGCGGGGGCAGGCCGCTAGTAGAGTATAAAAATCCTCAAAACTTTAAACTTTACCTACTATAAAACTAGAATGAAAATTATAATTTTTAGAAAATTAACCTAGGTACATTACGGCCGCCGTATCTTAGCGAGTCTGAAGTTAGCCGATTAGCTGCGCAGTACAAAATTTTGTTCCTAAAAGATCCATTGCGCAGACAAACGGCTAACTTCAGACTCGCCAAGATACGGCGGCCGTACTGTATGTAACAAAGATATGAATTATGAAACTGATTGAAAAAGAGTAACCATGGAGTTTCTTGCTCATTCTTCTCCATAGGAATCTACACTTTGGAACGAGCAAATAGCTTCACTAGAGGACAGACGGACAGACTGACACACACAAAGTTGAACTATTTAGATATTAATTTTTTTTGTTTGACGTTCAACACTGCATAATAATAAGGGATTGGAACAGTTTGCCGGCTGCAGTCTTTCCGTCCAAAATCCAAATATAATTTAGGTGTCTTCAAGGCTAGAGTGAATAAGCTCTTAATAAACTAGTGCGCCTTACCATCAACGATTGCATCACTGCTTACCATCAGGTAGGATCGCAGTCAAGCACTAGTTCATAGCAAGTAAAAAAAAAAAAACTAATAGATACTGCATACGTATTACGTACATTGGTAGAATAAATATGTTTTTCTATATTAATTGAGTTGCCTAAATTAATTGGTAATTTCGTTGTATTTATCAAGTCTTCGGTAGTATAGTGGTCAGTATCCCCGCCTGTCACGCGGGAGACCGGGGTTCGATTCCCCGCCGGAGAGATTCTTTTTGTTTTTCTTAAAATTTTCTTTTGCACTTTTTTCCACTTGTTTTTATTCAATATTACTTCTTTATGATTATTTGTAAGAATTATAATTATTTTTTGTATTTTTTCTTATCAAGTGTGGGAGAGCCATGCTTCGGCACGGATGGGTCGGGTCGCCGGCTCGACTGGAGTGTTTACCACGGCCTCCTGTGAGTGAGTTTAACTTCCTTCCCGAACCCCAAAATCTCCAAATCCTCCGTTGTTTCGGTTGTCCATGGGCGACGCTGACTGCTTACCATCAGGTAATCCGTCTGCTCGTTTGCCGACTTATATTAGAAAAGAAATAATAATTGAACCTTTGTGATTTTACTGCAGGAGACAGAATGACTTAAATATTAAAGGCGCAGAAGAGACTTTACAACTGGGAGAAGACCAGTCACTAAAGACCAGGGAAAATTGCCAAAAAATGGTCCAGAGCGGCTTACCCGGATTAGCTCCATCCCTAAAGAGTTGAGGCTGGTCGGAGTACTGTAGATAGTATTGGATGTGAGCCATTTCATGATGCGTGGAGACCAGGTCCTGCATTGTGACCTCCGTGCATTGTTTAATTCTGAGGAGTAATACAAAGTGTTTTTATTTTCGGAATTCGCCCGCGTGGTATGTTGATAAAAAGTAGCCTTTGTCCTATTCCCGAGTGCGTCCAGCCGTTTTGGCGTAATTGAGTAACAAACATCAAAACATCGTAACTTACGCATTTATAATATTAGTAAGAAGTAAGATTTTAAAGGCATAGACAGGAGAGCAGGCCTTAAAGAGCCAATAGACCACCACAGTCGAGGCCCAATAGGGCTGATGTTTTGCCGGGGCTGCGGGGTAAGCGCAATGAGGCACCGCGACCTCGGCCCAGAGCAGGAGAAGGAACGGGGGGGGGGGGTTGGGGTTAGTCAGTAAGAGACTGACACTCTCTCTCTCACCTTACCCTGGGCGGGAAAAGACATTTAATGATTTTCCCTTGACAAAAAAAAGATGGTGAGACGAGAGAGGAGTGGGAGTAAGAGGGATGGGGCAATAATTGGGCCTCCGGTAACCTCACTCACATGGCGAAACACAACGTAAGTGTTGCTTCACGTCGGTTTGCTGTGAGGCCGTGGTATAACTCCGGTCGAGCCGAGCGACCCATTTGTGCCGAAGCTTAGCTCTTCCACAATTTTACACAGTTTCTCATGCAATTTCATATACACATCACACCCAGACCCGGACCTACACTTTGTCCATGCGGGAATCAAACCCGCGACAAGTTGCGCGGCAGCCATTTGTCCAGCCTCTGCACCAACCGTGCAGCCTAAGTGTGGAAGAGGCATGGCTTGGCACTAATGGTCGACTGGAGTGATAACACGGCCTCACAAACGGTATGAAATAACCACAGTGTTGTGTTTCGCCGTTAAAATGAAGTTAGCAGAGGCCCAATCCTTCTTCCCCTCCTCCAATCACTAAATCTCCAAAACTCTTATCCCCAACCACCACTCGTATCTCTTCCGTTTTTGCGGATCAGGTACTCCATCGGTTCTTTTACCATCTTAATCCCCCAAAAGGTCGTCAACGCACTCGTAACTCTTCCGTTGTTGTGGGTATCCCTTGGCGGCGCTGATGGCTTACCATCAGGTAATCCGTCTGCTCGTTTGCCTATAATTATCAGCATACCTGTAGTCTATCCTGTTGCAGAGATCCCAGGCGCTGGCAGTGCACTGCACGCTGCGCTGTGGGGGTCGCACCAACATGGAGCCGCGCCAGAACTCCGGCGGAACTGGCTTCAGACCCATAGAAGTGTAGAACTCTTCGGCCATTTGGAACATTCTGGAACAATGATATCAACTGACGTTGTCAGACCAGCTATGCTACTCTTAAAGGTTAATTTGCGAAACCACTTCGGAATCCGCGATGAAATCTTTATCTATACTTCTATACTAATATTTGTAAGTTTGTATGTAGGGGGTAATCTTTGGAACCGCTGGTCGGATTGCCAAAATTCTTTCACTGATAGTTAGCTACAATGTTCCTGAGTACTATAGGCTATAAAACATCACCCTACGACCAAATGGAGGCGAGCAGCGGGTCAGTCATGTATATTTAAAGTTTGGTATTCTCAAATGGAGTGAAATCTACATTGGCGCCACCATGTGAATAACGAAGTGAAAGGAACTAAAACGAATAAGTATTTTGACGTTTGTATACAGGCGAGATGAGAAGCGAAGTGGTGTGTGACTTTCGAGACGAGTTTCGAGGCGATTTACCATTTACAGAATGGCAGCACTGCTGGTTAAAGCAATTAAGGGTTCTTGTCCAAAACGAATAATAACGTTTGAAAGAGCCGTGCCATGTGTCGGAGAGTAGTTTTGGTTTACTACAATCTGAGCGAGAAATTACTATATAAGCAACAAAGTTGGCGTGGTTTAATATTTAAATGTCACTACTCCACCTACCCTACTCTACCTACCCTATTCTACTTACCCTACCCTACTCTACCTACCTACCTATCTAAATTTTATTTTAGAAGTGTTTGAGAAACATTCTTCAGCACAGACACATTCTTCGGCACGAATGGGTCGGCTCCACCAGAGTGATACATCGGCCTCACAGAAAACCGGCGTATAATAACTACAGCGTTGTGTTTCGCCGTGTGAGTGAGGTTACCGGAGGCCCAATTCTTCCCCTCCCCCAATCCCTCATCCCTAAAAGGTCGGCAACGCACTTGTAACTCCTTCGTTGTGGGTGTCCATGGGCGGCGCTGATTGCTTACCATCAGGTAATCCAACTGCGAAACGTTTGTAAAATAACTTAAGCTGTTCTTGTCTTACCTGAGCGGTGTGAATCCTTGCCTCAACATCTCAGCCGTGACATCCACGTTAGGAGACTGAGGGAAAGGCATCACCAAGTCCATGATCGACTTCCAATTCTGTGCCCACATGTTGCCTGAAAACATATCTGATACTTTGAATCAAATCACTGCATAGTATAAAACAAAGTCGCTTTCTCTGTCCCTATATCCCTATGTATGATTATATCTTTTAACATACGCAACGGATTTTGTTGCGGTTTTTAGGTAGAGTTATTGAAGTATAATAACATCTAGTGAATAATTATAGAATGGACGTAATTGTACATAATATACTTGATTGATATACTTTTCTCCACTACAAAAGTATCAGCTTTGCACTCGTGTGATGTCGGGGCGGGTGGCTAGTATTCAATTTATCATAGAATCTCGGAAACGGCTCAAACTTTTTTGGATGAAGTTTTGTACTGTTATGTAAGAATTTCAAGGCTCTAGATGAACGGCGGAAACAACCACAGCGTTGTGTTTCGCCATGTAAGTGAGGTTACTGGAGGCCCTACTCCTCTCCTCCCCTAATCCTTAAATCTCCGAAACTCCAATCCCGAAAAGGCTGTCCATGCACTCGTACTCCTCTAATGTTTTGGACGTCCACGGGCGGCGTCGATTGCTTACCATCAGGTAATCCATCTGCTAGTTTGCGGTAATATCACATAGCAAATAAATAATATTTCGGATAATATTGAAATTATGGTCCAAAACCACGACTTACCCAACAAATGAGCTGGTATGGGTCCGTCAGACCTTACACTGGTTTCTCCGTACCTCTGGACAAGCCTCCTCCTCACATAAGTAAACAATTGCTTATAAAGAGGCTGTATCTGGTTGTACATCTCTTCAACACTGGCTCTGAATGAAGGGTCTTCATAAGCCGCTCGCATTTGATCTCCAGCATCCCTGTATCCTAAAATTGGAAAAGTTGATAAGTGTAGGAGAGTCATGCTTCGGCACGAATGGGTCGGCTCGACCGGAGTGATACCACGGCCTCACAGAAAACCGGCGTGAAACAACCACAGCGTTGTGTTTCACAGTGTAAGTGAGGTCACCGAATCCCTCCAATCCTTAAATCTCCAAAACCCTGATCTTCAAAAGGTCGTCATCGCGCTCGTGACTCCTCTATCGTTGCAGGAGTTCACAGGTGGCGCTGATTGCTTACCACCAGGTAATTTACGTGCTAGTTTGCCGTTCTATCACATTAAAAGTTGAGACTATGCATTGACTGATGACGTAGACAGATGCAAGATAGCAGTAAATGTATGGAGATATGGTGGAAATTCACATTGCTGTGTTCAACAAGGTTCACAATTGATTCTATGTCCACCATTTCAACTGTTTTTATGTAAACACTATGTTATAAATATCCGCAATGAAAAATTGAACTTGAACAGTGTACACAAACTTCTATATTTTTTAATTATACACCAACTTACATTTACGACTTACGCCACACCTTCGAAATCAAAATGAAAGTTTTTACATTATGAATAACTTACTGCTTATTAAATCAGCGTCCTACCAAATAAATACCGGCCAAAATCGGTCCAGAAACTACAAACAAAAAATATTGTAAAGTGTTTTTTTTTATTTTAATATTTGTGTATGTTCAGAATTAATTCCCCATCTTCTTTTCTCGATTTTTTCCTTTGTTGTCGGTGCATTTAGAAAGATACAATTTCACATACATACTTTGCGGATCACACCAAGAATTGTTCCGTGCGGAAATCGAAGAAGCGACACGTTGTTGGGCAGCCGGTTGGCCAGCCACCCGTATACTACCAGAATAGATTATGGCATGCAAAAAAGTATTAAGACCTTCAAACCACTTACCAGTCGCCACAGCAGCTTGGTTAGCCAACTGAACGTATCTCATGAACCTATTCCTCAACTTCGGACCAGTCTGATCTCTGAAACTCTTCCAAACATACAACAGTTCACTTTCAATTCTCGAATGGGCAAGAATTCTGGAAATTTCTGGATCCAACTGCATATCGCAGTAATTCGTTTCTGAAGTTTCCGTATATGGTTGGTAGTGCTGATATGGTTCGTTGGACAGCTGATACCCCTGGTCTTGATACTCATGGCTGTATGGGATCCGAGGTATATGAGGGTCATAAGGCTTCTGGCCGTAAGGACATATTTTGGCCGAGTTGTAGACTTCTTTCATTTCTGATATTAGTTGTTGGAGCTGTAAGAGACATTTTTGGGGGGTTATTTATTGCGTTTTTTGTGGAGAGAAGTTGCAAGTTTTAATAGGTAAGCATTATGTCTCTGAAAAATCTCTTTTTCTCTTTGAAAGATCATTGAAGTGTTTGAATCTCAGACTATAAGAAATTGAACGTTTTTGGATTTTCTATGTGTTGGTGTTTGTTATTCGAATGGTTATAAGATCGATTGCCGGGTTTGCTATGGACTCCCTCTCTCGAAAGGGACAGTACCAAATTTTTTTGTTGCCTACAATTATCATTATAGCTCTATGCAGTCTGTTGTTTTGTCAAGTTTGATAATGGCGATGTGCTTTGTACAATAAGTAAGATCAACTTCAAACCTGATAAAAAATGAGACTCCTATTCCTAAGCTAAAAACCACACAATTAATCTCATAACAGAATTACAAAAAGAACATCTACCTCACCTCAGAAAACTTATCATCAGGTAGCGCCGCTCTGCTAGACAGCACGATCTTCATCAGCTGCCGTCTGCCCTCAGGGTCTGAGAGCCTCGAAGAGTCGAAGGCAGCTGCCTTCCTCCATGAGAGCTTCTCAAACTTGGAGCTCAAAGCCAGTTCCTCCAACATTCGACGGCGATTGTACTCGGTGATGTTTGTAACAAACTTCCACTGGGACATTGTTACTCTAAAATGAGATATTAAGCATTGTAACACAACTATTTATAATATAATTTCAAACCTATTTCAAAAGTGAACTTCATCGTTTACATTGTATAACTCCAAAATTCAATACTAGATGCCGTTGCGCGTATGACGTCATATTTTACATGGCGGTGTTAAGATTCTCCGCGACTTAATGACCCCCGCCAGTACATTTGTGTTTTGTGAAGGCTACTATCACGGTGCACTCTCGGGCTACGTCCTACTTAGAATAGTCACTTGAGACTCGAGACACTATATTATACTTTTATCTCAATAATTGTATATTTATTTGGATTAGAGGACTGCATCATTTATTGAGTCAAATACACGTTGACAACATTGACCTGGCTTTCCGTCACGGCAACGCGTGACGACACCGGAATAAGTAACCCTCTTACAGTATTATTTTTATGAAATCAATAAGCAGCTTATTATTAATTAAGGAATTAAGGAATTGGAAGCAAGCAAATGTTGGTATACATGTCATGGTCGTGAACGGGCGCCGTTATTTAGGACTGGTCAGCTCCGCCGACACAGTCCGTGTAAATCTCTTTGGACACGGCAAAAATTTTCTCGAACCTCTTTTGAAGCCCTTTTAAACTCGAGCTGATCTCTACCCTCACCTGTAGCACATTCCAGAAGCTTCTCTATCATACTCGCGGAGAAACTGCGATGCCTCCGCTGAGTTTGTGTTTACTCCCTGGAACAAAAGACCATATCATTTTTACATTGCCTCAGTCTGTTGTGACTGTCTCTGACTGTTTATGTATTTTGGGTGCAAGCTCAAATAACGAGTCCGAGAGAAGACTTCCTTCAGACTTCGGTTTGATTTCGAAAATGATTGAAAGAGACCATTGAGTTTCTTTCTCGTTTTGAAGTGACGGTCTTCTGTGTAGAAGATTAACGGTAATAAAAATAGACAGATGACGTCAAAAATCCCTATTTCGAGCTAGTGAAGTTTGTGTTGTTAGAAATCCCCAATGTACAACTGTTGGGCTCGGCTGACAGGATCACCTCGTCTGGTCGGAAGATCCTCCTTTTTTGACCTAAGAAGGGAGCTTTATTCTTTCTTCGCCTGAAGTTCTTTTCTATAGGAATCTGCACTATCAATAAATAAAGGAATCTACACGTTGGTATTTAATTAGCTTCATTAGAGGACTGACCGACAGACTGACACTTTACTAGATAACTTTTAAACTTTCGCGTTTCATATTAATAACATATATTTACGCGGGTATTAACGCGGAAAATTATTATTTTATTATTAGTTTATAAAAGGTCAACTGCAGCTACGGTAGTTCCTACATTGGGCAAACGAAGCGGACCATTGCTGAGAGGCTCAAAGAACATATCGCCGCAGTCAAAAACCGACAGAGCAACAAATCAGCGATAGCAGAACACCTGCTCCAGGCTGGCTCAAATCACTGGGTAGAATTCCACCGACCGCAAATTCTCTCCACTGATCGCCACTACCATACAAGACTTGTGCGTGAAGCGGTTGAAAAAAAGCAATGCCCAAATAATTTCAATCGGGAGGACGGATTTAAATTGTCGTCGACGTGGAATCCATTTATTCGCAAAACACAACCTCGCTTTCTTTCAAAGTCAGTTAACGCATCTGTGGATACGGTCAGCGTAGTGTGTAGACGGCCTAATATGGTAGAAAATGAAAATAAGGGGTAGATGAAGATTCATCGCCCGATTGCAGGGAGCTGTGACATCGCGTCGAAACGTCAAGCCTACCAAGGTATTCAAATAATAATTTTCTGCGTTAATAACCGCGTAAATATATGTTATTAATAGAATGACACTTTTTGTCTTTAAATCTTGGTTCAAAAGTGCATACTTAATGTTCTAATTAAAGTATGAGAAATTGAAGGTTTTTATTGTTGTTGTGGTATGTAGTATTGTAGTATAAATGATACCCTGGATTTACTAGGCTACATAGGCAGTCTTTTATCAACATACCACGCGGGCGAAGACACGGACGGAAGCTAGTATGACATATGAATGTTTGTACTCGGACAAGGGCACACGTAACAACATATGTACATTCAAACATACATACATACAAACAAAGGCCTGCTGAAAACAATAGCGTTACAGCCCTGAAGGTCATCGAAACATCACGACATCTCAAGTAACGCTTTTGATTACAATAACAACCCATTTTTTACAATTTCCGCCAATTCACTGGCATATGAATAAATATATTATTATTTTTATTGTCTTTATCTTTGAACTAAATTACTTTAAACTTAGTTGCAGATGTAAATTGGTGTGGATTTTCCGAGGTTAGAGTAAAATTAATCATCAACAACAGTTTACGGCCTACTGAAAGTGGCCATGAGTCTTCTAAGAACAGCCATCGTTCTGGTGGCCCAGCTTCGTCTTCGAGACAAGACGTTTTTTCCGAGTTATATGTACTTCTTATGATTATTTAGACACCACTACTACATATGGTGAACTGAAATATCATTTTAAGTGTGGGCAATTTAATCATCAAATGAGTGCAGACTCTTACTGACTAAAAAGCCGTTCGTTATTCTGCTACAAAGAGAGATCTATTCTATTCATCTTCATCTTGCTTCATCGTGCTTACAACCCTGGCTAGATTGTAAGGAAAACTGGACTTAAGTATACTTTTGCTAATTATAAGATTGAAATAATCATCACCATTCCGCCTTGAGCATGCGTGGTGACACGTGGAAGAATTAAATACTACTCCCTTTTCTTACGTATCCTTTCTTAATTATCCTATATTATACTTTAAAACTATCTACCTACAAAAAGGTAGTATAGGAATTCTTTTAAGCAAAAACGGATAGACTGATTTGGTTGTTTGATATTTAGACAGGATAGGATAGGCTTATTTTTATATACCAAGCGGGCCAAGCAAGAAGCTAGTACTTGAATACATAATTATATAATTTTGACCTGTTAGAGTTCCGTTTTATGTCCTACTAGCCTGCAGATTTTTTGTTCTAAAAATACCGTCGATACCTAATCTCACACAAATAGGTTTAGTAGCCTAGGCGTGAAGAAATGCAGACAGACAAACAGACAGACAGAGTTACTTTCGCATTTATAATATTAGTTTGGATTTGGAAGTTTGGATTTTCAAAAATTAAAAATTAGTTATTTTTTTTCAATATATTAATTAAATCTAAGATCCCCGATCGGGAAAAGGGAGTAAAATATGACAATTACACCATACATCATCAGCATATTTGTGCTTATTGCTGAGCAAAAGCCTCTTCTCACAAGGAGAAGGTTTGGAAAATGTGACAATTATCAAAGGCTGATTTTCTGAAATGGGCTAAAAACCACTTAGCTATAGCACACAGCCTAATTGCTTCCCAATTCAATTAACAACGATCTAGCAGTTTATAAGCGAAAGTGTCTCTATTGTCCGGCACATCCGTCTGTGTATTACAACCTCGAAAACAATGGGTACAATGAAAGTGGAAACTTTGAGACTTCACTGTCAATATAACAGCAGTTTTTTTATAAAATTTTGTATTGTAAGCAACCTTTATTATATGACTAGCGGCCCGCCCCCGCTTCGCACGGGTCCAACTATCTCGCTATCAAAGTGTCACTTTTTCCTAATCTTTTCTTCTACTTTTCTAATATTTTCTGTGATAAGAACCTTCTCCTGACAATAACTAAAACAACAAAAAAAGAATTAGCAAAATTGGTCCAGGCGTTGTTGAGTTATGCGCTTACCAACACATTTTGCGATCCATTTTTATATATAAAGATTATTTAGACACGACTGACAAACGGTGAAGGAAAAACATCGTGAGGAAACCTGGACTTATAATTTCTAATTATAAGTTCGAAATTGCCAATTCGCCTTGAGCAAGCGTGGTGATCAATGCTCAAACCTTCACCGTGTGAGAAGAGGCCTTTGCTCAGCAGTAAGCACTTATAGGCTGATGATGATGATGATATAAGCTATCGGTTGACAAGGCTTTTACGTCGACGAAACCACAGCTTGTGATGTATTTCGCCGTGTGAGTGAGGTTACTAGACACACAATCCTTGTCCCTCCCCCATCCCTTCACAATCCTTAAATATCCAAAACCCTCATCTTAACGGCCGGCAACGCACTCTTTACTCCTTTGGTGTTGCAGGTGTCCATGGGCGGCGCTGATTGCTTACCATCGTTCGATCAGAGTGATACCACGGCCTCACAGCAAACCGGCGTGAAACAACCACAGCGTTGTGTTTCGCCGTGTCAGTGAGGTTACCGGAGGATGCCGGAGGCAATCCCTATATCTCGAAATCTCTGATCGCCAAAAGTTTAGCAACGCACTGGTTGCTCGTCTGTTGTCCATGGGCGGCGCTGTTTGCTTACCATCAGGTAATCTATCACATTAAATAAGATGTAAATGAAGGTTATTGTATTTTAGTCGAAATGCTGATATTTAATTAATTCACTATTCAATTGATGTTGAAGCCTTCCTCTTCAATCATTCTATCTATGAAAAAATCCATCATCAAAATTCGTTGCGTAGTTTCAAAGATTTAAGCATACATATAGGGATATAGGGACAGAGAAAGCGACTTTGCTTTACACTATGTAGTGATTTGCACCTTTTAAAAATTTAATCGCAAAGTTCTACAATCTTACATTACTTTTATTGCTTGCGTGTATAAAATTGACAGGCGTTATTTTTCTTTATTTATACATATATATATTTTTTTCTTTTTTTTATAAATTATAATGTAGAAAAGAAAATTATAGATCCTGCTAACATTTTAAACGCGAAAGGAGGAAAGTATGGATGGATGTTTGTTACTCTTTCAAGTAAAAACTACTGAACTAATCTGAACGGAATTTGGCGCAGAGATAGATTATAGTCTGAAATAACTTTGCGGAGCGCTGCTGCAGGATCTCCTGTGTAATGTGGTAGTCCTATTACCGGCTCTTGCGACACCCGTTATTATGGGAAGAGTTGGTGATTATAAAAATTAAATGCATTCAAACAATATAAAGTTGAAATCTATTGGTACCTTCCGAGCGTTTACTATTATCGTTTGCGACTTGGCTAGAGGGCCTGAAGTGTTTAATTACTTGAAAGAAGGTCCTATCCATTTTTTGTAACTCAACATTTCGCGTTGGCATTTCGCGTTGGCGGTGTCCACGGGCGGCGCTGATTGTTTACCATCAGGTAATCCGTCAGTTGTTTACCTTTCGCATAAAGAAGTGAACTGTGATACAGCGTCCATTACCATCTTTTGTGCCCAAAATGGGTTGAACTTTTGGAAGATAAAAACTAATTAAAATCATTTTGTATTGTAATCATGTTATACTGTGGTAGAGCCATGCTTCGGCACGAATGGGTTGGCTCGACCGGAGTGATACCACGGCCTTACAGAAAACCGGCGTAAAGTAACAGTCACGTTGTGTTTCGCTGTGTGAGTGAGGTTACCGGAGGACCAATCCTTTCCCCCGTCCCCTATCCCCAAATCCCCTAAGTATTCTTTAATCTTTACTAATGTAATAAAGCCGTAGAGTTTGTTTGTACGCGCTAATCATCGAAACTGTTACCGAATCGAACAATATTGTTTTTGTGTTTGTTATAGTTCGTTCCATAATTAGAGACAACGATTTGACATTTCGAGTGTTGCAAGTTTTTTCCATTTCATAAATAGTGAAGTCCCACGACCGGTATTGACCGAAAGACCGAA